GACGGAGGGCTTGGGCTTCCTACGTCTTGCCATTGGCCATAGAACTACTTGGTGTGGGTTAAGGAGGTGCTGATGCTGCCCTAGATTCTGTGCCTAAGAATCATTACACTGATGCTGAAAACTGGCTCTGCAGTTGGAACATGGCTGATATAAAGCTCACCAGCTAGTCTCAGCAAGCTGCCAAAGGTTCTTTCCTGTGTATGTATAATTTCTTCTCCCCCCAGTCTCGCAAGTGTGTTCAGCCTGTCATGCGCACATCTTCCCATTAGTCTGCATTCCTTTCTATGAACGCTAGTCTTGCTTTAATGTAATGCTATCTCTCCAAGGCCACAGGTGGAAGAGCACAGAAGGCTTTGCTTAGTCTTTAATGAGCAGTAGTTGTGGGAATAGACTAATTGTTTATAGTTAAGGAACCATTGCTTCTCAGGGTTTAAGCGCGAGCGGGGCCTCTTGGCCGCGCGCGGAAACCATATCTATTGGCTATTGTAATTATGAACTTGATTTATCCTTTCATGCACCTCAACCTTCGTTATTCTGAACAGTGACCCTGTTCTAGTGCTTCATGGCTTCAATAAAGTAAAACCTTCTTGCAAGTGTGTACTACGTTGTTTGCTGTAGGGACCTGACAGCTAGCTGGGCCTGTGCAACTGCCTGGATTTGCTGGGCTTTCCATATGAAAAAATGGTTAGAGTTCAATCTTGCTTCATTCTAACGATGAATGTCTTGCAGTGATATAACGATAGCCAGCAAGCACACGTTTAAAATATTTTCCTTTAAAAAAAAATTAACCACAGGAAGTTGCAAGCATGAACGCAGTTGTGGACGGCGAGTTCTTTCCAAAGGCACCTGAAGAGCTTCTGGCGGCAAAGGAGTTCAGTGTCATCCCCTATCTACTTGGCGTGAATAACCATGAATATGGGTGGAACGTCATGGTAGTCGTAAGACATCTCCTTCCTTCTGTATCACAAGTCCCTGCATCATCTAAAAAAAAGGGTCTTGGGGGTTGAGTCACATGTTATAAAGCCTTTGTGGACTCCATGAGGACTTTCTATCAAAAGTGCACCTAGAATTCCCTCCCAGGAGCTCAGTCCGCAGGTGCACATGGACCTGATTTGGATCAGGATCATGGTCCACAGGGCGAGGGCCTTAAACTGCCCTCTCCCCTCCCACAGCATTTTCTCAACCAGAAAGAGCCCCAGGGAGCTGCTGTTTGCCCTACCAGGAGAATTTAATGCATGTTGATGGGGAAAATGTGGGATGGGAAGCCCCTCCCCCCTTTGCATCACAGTTCCGGTCTGAATTGGGCCTGCACAGGCTTGGAAATTAAGCTCCCAGCAGGAAGAGCCAGTGCAGTATGTGGTTAAGAGTACTGAACTAGTACCTGGGTGACCCAGGTTGAAATCCCCACTCATGCCATGGAAGCTTGCTGGGTGACCTTGGACCAGTCATACTCTCTCAGCCTAACCTAGCTCACAGTTTGGTGTAGTGGTTAAGATCAGCGGACTGTAATCTGGAGAACGGAGTTCGATTCCCCACTTGAAGCTAGCTGGGTGACCTTAGACAAGTCACAGCACTCTCAGCCTAAAGATAAGCATAGCTTGCCACCTATTTCATTTTATTTATTTATTTAACTTTCAATTTCTATACCACTCTATCCCGGAGGCTCTGAGCGGTTTACATGGCTTATTAATACTCCTAACTAGGGCCACACGATAACTGGGGAAGGTGAGTGCCTACCAGGCACCCTGCCAGCTAGTTGTTCTTTTGGCACCTAGTGGTGCCAAAAAAGAACTATAGCTTTGGTAGCCAAACAGTCCCCCATGGAGATCTCCTGGCTATTCCACATACAACGCCATACGATAAATTCAATTTTTTTTGTGAGGGTGAAATGGAAGAGAGGAGACTGCAGTAAGGGTGACCACTGGGAAGAAAGGCGGGGTACAAATTAAGTAAATAAAATTAATTAATAAAATATAGTTGACACAAAGACTCTATGATATGTGATTCACACTCAGGGACTATCTTGCAGGATTATTTTACAGGAAGCTCAGCAGCCTCTGTGTTGCCATTGCTTTGCACACCACTCCCATTTCCTCTCCAGTCTCGTGTTAACCACAGCTTTGCAAAGGGGAGTACGAAAGGAACAGGAGGGGAGATGTGAAGCCAGCAGCAAGTCAAGTTTAAGGTGCTGAAGAGATTTTTGCCAGCTCTCCAGAAGGCAGATGGGTTTGTACATCCCTGTGGGAAATGGTTACAACAAATATAGAAGGGAAGAAGAAGAGATTGGATTTATACCCTGCCCTTCACTACCCAAGGGAGTCTCAGAGTGGCTTATAAACTCCTTTCCCTTCCCCTCCCCACAACAGACACCCTGTGAGGTAGGTGGGGCTGAGAGAGCTCTGACAGAAACTGCTCTTTTTCAAGAACAGTTGTGCCAGAACTATGGCTTGCCCAAGGTCATCCAGCCAGGTGCAAGTGGAGAAGTGGGGAATCAAACCTGGTTCTCCCAGATTAGAGTCCGCGCACTTAATCACTACACCAAACTGGATCTATGATTTCAACAACAGCTGAATGAAGAAAGATAAATCCAGTGCAGAGAGGCTGTGGCTCAAGTGGAAGAGCATCTGCTTGGCATGCAGAAGGTCCATGGTTGAATTCCCAGCATCTCCAGTTAAAAGGACCAGATTCATGCGAACTATAGTTTATTATTATATAACCTATAACTAATCGGTTGCACTAGGTTAAAAGGACCAGGTGATATGAAAAACTTCTACCAGAGATTCTGGAGAGCAGCTGCCAGTGAGAGTAGACCATACTGACCTTGATGGACCAATGGTCTGATTCAAAGTAAGGCAGCTTCATGTGTTCATGTGTATGTAGTTCTGCAAAAGCTATTGTGGATAGGAGCTGTTCTGTCCACAGATTATTTGAGTAGCAGTATCATTTATTGTATGTGGTCAAAGGCCATTACAATCAGTCACACAGACATAGACAGAACATAAAACATGAATCATAAATAGCATTGTTAAACCAACCAGACCTAAAAGTGCTTATCAGGTTAAAAGGCTCCCATACGTTCCTTGAGTATTACATTACATCTTCTGCTGCCATTAAAGTGGCATGATTACAAACTGAACAACATAAAATGCAACTGCTAAAATATAATTTTTTTAACACACAGGTAATGAATTTCCTAGACATCAAAGATGGCATAAATCGGGAGAACATCTCTGCAGCATTCCAGCCTGTGGCCTCCGTTTTGGTAAGAGAAAAGCAGATACTCTTGAGATCACAAAATGTCAAATTTATGTTCAAATTCCAATGTACCTGGAAAGACTTAAAAAATATTACAAACCTTTTGAAACAACATTGGGGAGATCTAATTGTACAGACACCTCGGCATCATGTCATGTCTGTTTTGGCTTTCAGAGTCTAGCTATGAATCTCTAAACATGGGAATAAGGGGAATAAGTGCATAAGGATGTGGCACAGGGTTGCCAGCCTTCAGTGGAGTAAACATGGGAAAACACCGTGTTCAAACAAAACACACATTTCTGATATGCTTGGAGAACTGGAGAAGACTTCTACAGAATTTCTTGACTTGTGCTTTGTAGCATTGTGAGCTTTGGTTCCAGGAGAGAAAGTCTGCCTGAAGAAGAATTTCTCAAAACACGCAAGTTTTGCCTGGGAGGCGTGTTGCATGACGGTTGCTACATCTCTCTTCTGAAAGCAAGACAGCCTACAGCATTGAATCCTGTCTGCATATTTGTCTCTGTAGTTGTGGACTTTCCTACAAAATATATATTGTTCTTTATGTCATTGTTATCAGTGTACTATAATTAATAGGTTGCACTAGGGTCTTTACTGTACATTATATGATTTATTCAAATATATGAAGTTACAGTAGCATATCAGAACTGCATGCTTTGTTTGAACACGGTGTTTTCCCGCGTTTACTCAACCTTGCTGTGTTTCCCGTGTGTTTGTTAGCCTTCAGTGGAGGTCTGGAGATCTCCCAGAATTACAACTGATCTCTAGGCAATAGTGATAAGTTCTCTCAGAGGAAATGGCAGCTTTGGAAGGTGGACTCGATGGCATCACATCCCTTCCCATCTTCCACAACCTCCCCCCACCCAGATCACCAGAAATTTCCCAGTCTGGAGTTGGCAACCCCAATATGGTGATAGTGAAAGGAAAAGAAATCCTGATACCTAGTGCAGCACTTTGGAAAGGTACCTCCAACAGAATCTAGCTCAGTTCCCAGACCAAATGTGTAGCTCTGCAGATTATACACTAGGAAGATTCACTGTACTGAAATCAAAGAACCAACCAACCAAACAACAAAAAACACAATGCTGGAAAGAATCCAGTCAGTTAATGTATCTGAGTTGTGGAATGTGGCTGCTTTGGGGCACATTATTTCCTCCAAAAAGCTTTCCACAGAGGTTATACTAGCTCCATTGAAACAAATCCTCCCCAACATGCAGTCCATGAGGTGGTACCACTCACTGTAAAAACACAATTACGTTATACATGCCCTCAGTGTGCTTGCACTTCCTTTCGTTGCAGGGGCTCGTGCCCGAATCTGTGGAGGAGGTATTGGATGAGTATCTGGGAGACACGGAAGATCGTATCAAATTACGAGAACGCTTCCAAGATCTGATGGGAGATGCTGTTTTTGTGGTTCCTTCTGTTGAAACAGCAAGAAGCCATAGAGGTGAACTTTCTAAAGTAACAGGACTGTCACGGCAGACCTTTAGAAGCCCTTTTGGCCAAAATTCTCCTTGGGGTTCACATTTGGATTTCACTGCCAAAATGTGAATCTTTCCCATAAAGACATACTAGATGGGCTATGAGGGTACTCTCAATGAAGAACATTTCATCAGTGTTGGTCTACTGTACCCTTGCGGCACATTTGGGATTTTGAATGGCTTCCATAAGAGGCAGGGCCAAACCCCAAATGGCTTCCGGAGGAGGCAGAGTCAAACAAAATATCTTCATCCTTGCAGCTCCTGGGAACAGCAGCTGAGGGGTGGCTTTTCCCAGGAAGAAAGGAGCAGGTGAGGAAAGGGTCAGAATTGTCTTTGATGGAGAAATGCTGGCAGCTATATTTGCAAAACAAAGCAAAGATTTGGAATAAACGGAGCCCTGAGCCAGGTGGTGAAAAAGCAGCTGCTACCCTGTGGTGCGGACGTGACTGAACTGTGTGTGCTCCTCTGTAGCACCACAGTGATTGTGGCTTCCTTCAGAGCACATCCAGCAGTTTGGGAAGAGTTACCACTGCTGATGTATGGGCTTGCCAACCTCCAGGTGAGGCCTGGAGATTTCCTGGAATTACAACTTCTCTCCAGACTAGAGATCAGTTTTCTTAGATGAAGTGGCTGCTTTGGAGGGTGGGCTCGATGGCATTGCATCCCTGCTGAGCTCCCTGCTCTCCCCAGTCTCCACCCCCAAAGTCCCCAGGAATTTCCCAACCTGGAGTTGGCAGCCCTAGCTAACAATGAATGGACTGTTTCTCTTTTCTTTTCTCCAGATTCTGGGGCTCCTGTCTACTTTTATGAATTCCAGCACCGGCCCACTATGTTTAAAGATACCAAGCCAGATTTTGTGAAGGCAGACCATGGTGACGAACTGTTCCTTGTCTTCGGATTCCCATTCTTAAACAACACATCAGTCTCCTTTAGTAAGGGTACAGTTACAGATGAATTTAATAGTGGACGAGCTTCAGAACTGCATTGGTTGTTTGCAGCGTTAACAATGTGATACTCCTCCATTCTCAATGTGAATTACAGCAATAGTATACACAAACTGTTAAATATTATTTATTTATTTTATTTTATTTATTAAGATTTATACCCCGCCCTCCCCGCAGAGCGGGCTCAGGGCGGCTTACAAGGGGCAAAGCCCATATAAAACATAGTGGGTTCGATGAGCAGGCTCGAGTCTAGTGATCAGTTCTACTTTATTAGTGATTTCAGCAAGAGCAAGACAAGATTCCAGAGCCTCAGCTCTGTTAAATAGCATGCAATTGCCACATCCAAACACACCCCACTCCCAGTGATAGGCTATTTACATAACATTACTACTAGATTGGTTACTTTCAGAATCCTCGTAGGCTATTGTTCTTGTGCTCCAAGCTCAGGCAGTCTCAGCCAAGCTCAGGAATGATTCAATCCCAACACAAACCATAAAATCCAGATTTAAAAATAAAACAAAGCAAAATAGAAAGACTAGACATACAAAACTGCAAGATCCAAAATACAGGTCCTAATCAGCATCAATCCAGCCTGTGTGGAAATCTTCCTATATTGTTCCTACAGAATAGTCTGTCCCAGAACACAGGGTGAAACGGGTCTCTTTTCCAAAGAAGTTTGGTAAACACAATGACAGAAATGGTCAAGCACCCTCAGAAAAGAGCAAAAACCAAGGCAGTGTTGTGTAGTGGTTAGAGTATTATTCTAGGATCTGGGAGACCTGGGTTCGAATCCCCATGCTGCCATGAACCTTGGTGGGTGACCTTGGGCCAGTCGCTCTCTGTCAGTTCACCCCACTTCACAGGATGGTTGTTGTGACGATAAAATGGAGATGGGGGACACACAGCGTGGACCACCCTGAGCTCTTTGGAGGAAGGGTAGGTTACAAATATACTAATTAAATAACATAAGGAGGGTACACTGAGCAAAGCCTCAACAGTTGACCTTGAAAGAAGTGTTTGGTGTAGTGGTTAAGTGCGCAGACTGTAATCTGGGAGAACTGGGTTTGATTTCCCACTCCTCCACTTGCAGCTGCTGGATGATCTTGGGCAAGCCATAGTTCTGGCACAGCTGTTCTTGAAAAAGAGCAGCTTCTGTCAGAGCTCTCTCAGCCCCACCTACCTCACAGGGTGTCTGTTGTGGGGAAGGGAAGGGAAAGGAGTTTGTAAGCCGCTCTGAGACACCTTTAGGTAGTGAAGGGCGGGGTATAAATCCAGTCTCTTTTTCTTCTTTAATCGTCAGGAGTCTAATGCTGTGCAAATGGCAGCACATCTGTTTCTCCTGCTCTTGTTGGAAGGGTAGTATAACAGCAACCCATGCTTCTATGGACAGTATAACCCATGCATCTTTCCTATGAAGGAGCTTCTAATCTTTCTGGTTGCTCTCCAAATGGAAGACTCAGCGAAGCCTACGCAGACCCACCCTGGGCTCTCCTACCAAGATTCCCGAGTCCCTCCCTCATGTCACCCAAGATGGGTAGTGTACAGGATAGCCCACTCAAACCTGTCCAGGGTTGAGAGGGGAATCTTGCACTTTTCAGTACATTAAACAACAACCCACAGAGGTAGGCTACCCTCTCTGGATTCAGAACCTCTACAATAGTCCCCCTCCCAACCTGAGATTAGAGGTTCAAAATCTCAGTTGGCATCTAGGGCTTAACACATTAGCACCTCATTCCCAGAGATGCACACTTAATGCTCAATGGTAGCTTGTGGTCAGTTAGGCACAGGACTTTAGCCTTGGAATTCGAGTTACAACATCAGAGACCATTTAGGAATAAGAATAATTTTTATTCAATATAGAGCTTAGCAACAGACTACAAAAGATTACAAAACAAGAAAGCCTAAGGCGATTTGCCTTAACTACACAGTAAAAGATACATATTTACCCAAGTCAGGATAGCATCCAAGAGTTCAAGATTGTCCATTGTGATAATCCAGGTAGCACCAAGGGATTTTGAGTAGGAATCCTATCCTTGTCCCACCATGTGCTCTAAGTCACAAAGTAGGTCTTTGTTCTCCAACAGACAGCATGGCAGGACAGCATTTCAGGTGTAATAAAACAACAGAGAGAACAGGAGCAGAGCTGAGCTCTCCCTTGTTGGGATCAGACAGTTAAACCACAATTCCAGTCATGATCAGCTGTTGCCATCAGTCAACCAGGAGTAGATAGGGGATGTGCCCAGTTTTTGGTTGTCATGGCTACGTGTGGGGATAGGCTAGAAATTTGGAGACCACGCCTGCAAGCAATTGACCTACTTTCCAGGTACCTCATCGTCTATGTGACTACTTGCATGTGGGGCAGAGCCATCAGGTCTGGCTTTTGGCATGAACGTGTGAAAGAATGTGGGTTTATGGCATGGCTATCGAGGCCATGTGGCCCACCATTTGGCTGGTAACAGGAAATAAGGCACAGCCTGTTATCAGAAGACAGAACAGGAGAAGGCAAGAGGCTTTTAGAAATCAATATTTCTATACAGGTAGCCTTGTCTGTAGCAGTAAAAAAAAAAAGAGTTAAGCATCCAGTAACATCTTAAAGATTAACAAAATTTGTGGAAGGGTATGAGTTTTAGTAAGCAGTAACTTACTAAAGCTCATACCCTACCACAAATTTTGTTAGTCTTTAAGGTGCTACTGGAATTACTCTTTTCTCAGGTCACCCACTTTCAGCCCAAACATCATTTGAAATGAAATCCTGTGTCTCGTTAGCATTATCAGGAAAACAGTTATTGGTTATTTCCACATGTGCCATTCTCCAATTCATACCTCCCAGTTAAATCCCACCTTTCCTTCAAGGATCTCAGGACTGTGTACAGGCCCCTCACCATTCTACCCTCACCATTCTACCCTCACCAGTGGGGTAGGCTAGGCAGGGAGAAAGTTTGACAGGCCCAAGGTCACACTTAACCTCTTTTCCTGACCCTCAATAAAGGGGCTGCCAAATTCACCCAGTAATTCACCCAGCCTCTCCCTCGTTCCCCTCTCTCAGCAGTCCTGAACCCACCCAAGCCATTCGATGCCCAAGACCTTTCCCATCAAGACTGAAGACATTCGGCTTCCGGTCTGGCTCCCGCGAATGGCGGACGCATCCTCGGGTCGCTCCCGAGGGCGTCTCGTCCGCCCGCGGTGGAGGAGGGAATCCGCACGAGCGGAGACCCGAACGAGCACCTCAGAAGAGAGGAGCTCGGATCCGGGGCGCTTTAGGGCGCACTAGGGGGGAGTCGCTCTTTCGGCCGAGAGGTCGGAGAACGAGGCTCCCGCCATGCCCTGCACCATCGGACCTTGCTGCGTGAGCGACCCCGAACGGGGTTTAGCGGAGCCACCAGACGTCACCGAGTGATAAAGCGACCATCCGCAAAAATGGAAAAAGAAAAGATCGGCTTAACTGTGAGTTGTCAAAATGCAGAGAAAAAGAACTAAAAACGTTTTCCCCCCCCTCCCAGCGAAAAAGGCGAAGAGGTTAACCCTCTATTTGCATAAGCGAAAAAGAAAAGGAGGGGGGGGGATGAATCGAGCGGATAGTGATGTTTTCCTTTGATGTATTTGAAACAAAGCGGGAAAAAGTTTTGTCTCTCTGGAGCACATTTTAAGAACTTTCTAAAAGTAAACAAAGAAGAAAAGATGTCGGAGCTGGGCAAAAGCGAGCGGAGAAGAAGGGAGGGACTTCCGTCTGGGCGTTTGCTTGTGTGCGAGAGCCGGCTGTTGAATGTTTGGACTGTTTATGGCTGTGAATCCGACGGGAGTTTTGTAAAACGGAAAAGTTTGAATTGTGACAGCGAGAAGTGCCTGATAAGCGCTTATAAGTCAACAATTGCGAGGAGGACCCATAGAGAGTCTGGGAGCGAATATAAAAGCGAAAATGAAATTGATACCATTCTCGAAAATGGGGACCTCCGGGGCATGAAAGGAAGAGGATTTATAGTGCATGAACTGAGAGTATTAACAACAACCCGAAGGAGGATCTAACAAGCCGGAAGGAGAAGACAACAGAGGAACTCCTCCACGTCAGCGATAGTAAAAGTACCCAGCACGCAAAGAAGCGGTTCTGAATGTGCACAGAAGAGATCTTTTTTATTAACAGAAACTCAAAGGAACATTACTAACATACTAACAGAGAATTACATGTAACAGGACTAAGAAAAGAAGTTTGACAACACACAGAAGAAGCCCAAGAAGATTAATTGGACATTACTAACAGTTTAATTTACCAGTTTATATATCACTCAGCTTTCTCTTTCTCCCACTGTCTACCCTTCCCTTTTTTTCTTTTAAGCGAAAAACCTTTATTAAAAAAAAAAGACTGAAGACATTCAAAGGTGTCCTACTGGTTCAAACCAAGTCAATCAGCTTGATGCCTCCAGAAATAAACCCCACATTGAGGGCATAATAGTATCCCCCTCTGCTGTTCCTGCCCATTTAGCAATCATGGCAGAGAGTCTTGCAAATGTGTCTAATCCCTTTCAAATAGTGATACCTAAGCTGCAGTGGCTCAAGTGGTTAAGACGCTGAACTGCAGGCTGTAGAAGGTGGGTAGTTCAGCAGTTCAAGACCCGAGTGTGCCGCATGACGGAGTGAGCTCCCGTCTCTAGTTCCAGCTCCTGCCAACCTAGCAGTTCAAAAGCAAGAAATTGCAAGTAGATAAATAGGTACCACTTCAGTGGGAAGGTAACAGTGTTCCGTGCACCTTGGTGTTTAGTCATGCTGGCCACATGACCACGAAAATGTCTTCGGACAGCGCTGGCTCTTCAGCTTTGAAATGGAGATGAGCACCGCAACCAGTGTTCCCTCTAAGCTGAGTTAGTGTGAGCTAGCTCACAGATTTTTGTCTTAGCTCAGGAAGGATGGCTCCAGAGCAAATTAATTTATGCAGGAGCCAAATCACTCACAGCTTTAATGCCAGTAGCTCACAAAGTAGAATTTTTGCTCCACAGCTTAGAGGGAGCATTGACCACAACCCTAGAGTCGGATTCAACTGGCTTTCGAGCAAGGAAACCTTTACCTTTACTTTACCTAAGCTGTTGCTGCCACCGTATTCCAAGTTAATTGTGTTGGCGAGACTGTCCCCTACTGACACTGGTTTGTCAGTCTTGCTGCTCCAAATGGCAGTAGCTCTCCAGCATCTCAGGCAGAGTTCTTCCACATCACCTGTTGCTTTTTAAACTGGAGAGGCCGGGGATCAAACCTGCTGCGACCTCCCACATGCGAAGCAGATACCCTGTTACTGAGCCACGGAGATTATTTTTCCTTTTGTCTCTCCTGTCCCATCTTCAGGTGATAATGCGGAGGATGAGAAACAGCTCAGCAAGACAATCATGAAATACTGGGCCAACTTTGCTCGCACAGGGTGAGATTCTTGGCTGTTTCGAAGCAACGAGGCTTAATTACTGCAGCTTGCAAATAACACCCAATGTCCCAAATGCAACTTTTGTTTTCATGTTTTATAGGAATCCGAACGGGAAAGGTTTGGTGAAGTGGCCACGCTATGACCAGAATGAAGGATACCTGGAACTGAACCTGCAGCAACGGGAAGCAAAGAAACTGAGAAAGAAGCAGGTTGACTTCTGGGCTGGGATCTTGCATGGCAAAATGAAGAAAACCACACAAGAAAAGGAAGCACATGTGGATCTTTAACTGACAACACTGTTTGCTGGATTGCTATCCTCTTGCACCACCAAATACTTAAAAATGGTACCTGAAAACATTTGTCAAAGCATGTTTTTAATTCCGAAGGGAGGGACTTTGACTGCTTTCAGCTAGTCTTTTATCAGCAGATTTCAGGTGGTTCTTATCAGCATGTAGGCAATGCTGTCAAGGATTTCATCTACAAGGTGGAGGTTGCTGATGAATGCTGTTGGTGAATATTAAGAACAGAAATCAGGGCTGTTGTATTTAGTCAATTAATTGGCTAGGTGGCTTGACAAGTTGCTTGGGATGAAATGGAAAGCATAGGTTAACATTTTAAAAATTGTTTTCAACAGGAATGGGAGGAAGTGTTTTAGGGCTCAAGCAGAAAAGACTGATTCAAATTAGGTGTGTGGGGAATGGACCCAATTCAGAGGGGAGAGGATTTAAACCTCTCTTTCACCCTCCAATCTGAAACAGCCATGGGGAGTTATTTGCCTAATGGGGGAAACATACAAGCTATGTGTATATCATCTAAAAATGCAGTTTTTTCCCCTTCAGAACTGCTAATTGTCTTCATTTGTAAATTTCTGCAAATTAGATTAACCCATTAAAATCCATATTGAAGATTTTTAGTCAAGTTACTGAACATTTTAAGGAAGGGGAGAAAGGGAAAGTGCCAAACCATACAATCCATTCTAGAGTTAAGCATGTGCACTGCATGTGACATCCATGAATTCAAGTGCAAAAACCAGATTGTGGCAGAAAAATATAAATACAAAAGGGTACTAATATTAGCTTTGTCTGCAGAAAGAGAGTGTCACATGAAATTTGGAAGAGATGCATTTGTTAAAGTGTATTTGAAAGAACTACTTATAGGGTGGGAGGAGGGGTAGACTTGTTGCATGCCTGACAACTGGTAGGTAATACTATGAATTGCTACCTAGTGTATCAATCTTAAAAGTATTCTCAATTTTTGTGAATGTCAGAACTACCACCTTTTTGAACACATGAAGCCGCCTTCTACTGAGTCACAGCTTTGGTCGTTCAAGGATAGTCTTGGCTACTCTGACTGACAGTAGCTTTCTCAGGTCAAAGTCTTTCACATCACTGACTGCCTCATCTTTTTCATGGGAGATGCCAGGGACCTTCTACATCCAAAGTAGATGCTGTGCCACTGAGCCATTTCTGCTGCTCTTAGGTGGAATCTGCATTGGCATTTTCCACTGCTTCGGCTACACTCTCACTCCATCTCCCAAAAAAATGTCCACATCTCTTTAGGTTTTGCTCTCCTACTGCACTACTATAATTTCTGCTGTCTGCATTATTTTATTGCCCTATGGTTTCGGCTCCGCCATGATTGTGGCTTCTCTCCGACTCAAATGGATGTGGTCGAATCTGCATTTGCATTTTTAAATCAGTTTTGTGCTGCTGTGACTCTGTCTTTCTCTATGCTTGTTTGAATGTTGTTTGGAGAAGATTCTTTTAAAGCAGTGCAGAGGTGCAATGACAGTGGCGCCACCACGAAAGGGCAATGACGGTGCAAAAGTATGCTAGCACTGTTGAGGTGTGAAAATGACACCAAATGTAGACAGCTTTTTAAAAGATGTGTCAGAAGGCTGGGACACCAGTGGGAAAGACAAATGCAGATTTGACCATTAAAAGCACTCTAAGCCCCCCCCCAAGTGCTAATCTCAGGCTTATCTGCTCTGTTTACCTTTTGACAGCACATAGAGGAATGTAAGAAACTTTTCCCTAGCTTGACAAGCTAAGAGTGAATGATTTTATCTTGTTTTGTGATTTTTATATTGCCTGAAAAGTTAGAGAAAGATCCCTTCTACATACATACATACATACATACATACATACATTCATTCTGCAAACTAAACACCCAGTCCTTACAATTTTTTGGCTATTTTGGCTATTTTTGCTTTCTTATTTAAACCAAAAAATGAAAGCTGAAAAAATCCTTCTCTTTGAATGTAAAGAGAAGTTTATAGCTTGTTGGCTTGTTGCCTTAAGTAATTTATTGCCTTGTGTAAAGCTAATGGGTGCCGGCAAACGCTGGGCCTACTAGAGGGAGGAGAACAGCAACATTCCCGGCCAGCAAGCAGAAAAAAATAGCAGATTTTTTTCATACCACTTTGAAAAAAGCATCACACTAGTATAAAGAAAGACCGCATCAAGACTGCTTTAAAAATGAAAATGCAGATTCAGCCAATGAGAGAGGTCCCTGCCCGCATAGGATTTATAATGGCATTTGGACTTGATAAAGATATTGCTTTGAAACAGGTTCCTGTCATCTGATGATTTCTTGTTAAGAGGACCATCGGATATCCTGGACTCCTGAGGGAGGACATCAGATTCAGTATGGTTTTTTGGACTATCACAGACATTTTGATGTCTTTTAGGAGGATATTTCTTTTTAACTCTATTGCTTTAAGAGCACCTTAAGAGGCTTGCATGGTTCTTGTCCACCACAACTGGATACATCCAGCAACCTGGCCATTAGGGCAGGCCAAGTGGCAAAGACTGCCCAGAGCCAGGGGTCACGCCACATGGCTAAGTGTGGGTGTGACCCCAGGGCTCCCAATGTGATATTCTGACCACTCTCTCATAAGAGCTCTGCAGCACTGAGCCAGTCAGAAGACAAAGACTGGTTCCTTCCGCCTCTTTCTCTTCATCTTCCAAGACAGCTTGCCAGATGGCCCCTGAGGCTGCCAACCTCTCAAGCTGGCAGGTCACAAGGCCTCCTTGGCTAAGTAGCAGAATGGGGATCCAGAGGGGGTGAAGGGAAGGAAAGGAGGGAGGGAACTTTGCTCACCTGCCTGAAACGTCACCACTCTCTTGATGGCTTGCGGGCGCAGCTCACCAAAACTCCACCCTGGGACATCCCTGCAAGACAAACACGAGGTAAGCAGGCCGGATCCTGCACTGCCCTGCACCATGGGTGGCATCCCCCAGGCTCTTCCACTCCCTTCAGCTGGCCAACATCCTCCGGCAGCTGTCAGCCCACATCCCCTGGCTTCAATGTCCACTGGTTCGCCTCCATCCTCAACCAGTCAGCCCATCGTGTTCACACCCCCATTCACACCTCCGTTCAGCCCATCACATTCACAGACAACCATTCAGCCGACCCACCCCCAAGGATGGGCATGAACCATGGAAATCTGATACAGTCTGTGGCTGAGAAAAGAACTGGTGTCAGAAACTGATAGTTCTCCAAGAAGAAATTGATGAAGATTTCAGAGAGAGGATTCAATAACATATGGACAGTTTGATGGACTTGAGAGATCAGGAATCTTGTCTGAAATGGAGTCCTATCTGAGAAGAAAATGATGAAGACTTCAGAGAGAACTAGATCAATTTTGGCCAGGGCTTCTTTTATAGAAAAAGCCCAGCAGGAACACATTAGCATAATAGGCCACACCCTTGACAGTGTAGAAAGAAAGAGAGAGGCTGAGAGAAGGAAAAGAGGGAAAGAAAAGGGAAAGAGAAAAAGAACGAAGGAAAGAAGGAGGGAAAGAAGGAAGGATAGAGAGAGAGAGGGAAACAGGGAAAGAAAGAGAAGGAAAGAAGGAAGGAACAAAGAGAAGGGAAGAAGGAGGGAAAGATGGAACAAAAGATAAGGATAGAAGAAATGAAAGCAAGTAAGAGCGACAGAGAGAAGCAGGGAAATAAAAAGAAGGAATGAAGGAGAGAAAGAGACGGAAAGGAGGGAATGAAAGAAAAAAGGAAGAAGGAAAGAGAGAAGGAAAGAAGGACGCAAAGACGGAACAAAAGATAAGGAAAGAAGAAATGAAAGCAAGTAAGAGCGACAGAGAAGCAGGGAAATAAAAAAGGAAGGAAGGAGAGAAAGAGAAAGAGAAGGAAAGATTGAGGGAAAGAAAGAAAAAAGGAAGGAAAGAGGGAAAGAAGGAAAGAAAGAGAGAGAAGAAAAGAAGGAGGCAAAGACGGAACAAAAGATAAGGAAAGAAGAAAGGAAAGCAAGGAAGAGCGACAGAGAGAAGGAAGGAAAGAAAAAGAAGGAAGGAAGGATAGAAAGAGAGAGGAGGAAAAAAAGAAGGAAGGAAGGAAAGGGAAAGAAAAAGAAGGAAAGAAGTAAAGAACAAAAGAATAGAGAGGAAGGGAAGGGGGATGAAATGGAAAGAGAGAGGGAAGGAAAAGCGGGAAAGGGGGAAAGAAAGAGAAGGAAGGAAGGAAAGAGGAGGAGGGAAGAAGAAGGAAGGAAAGAGAGAGAAAGGAAAGAAGTACGGAAGGAGAGAATAGAGAGGAAGAGAAGGAAAGAAGGAGGGAAAGGGGGGCAAAAGAGAAGGAAAGAAAGACAGAGAAACAAGGGAAGAAAGAGGGAAAGAAAAAGAAGGAAGGAAGGAAGGAAAGTGAGAGAAGGGAAGAAGGAGGGAAAGACGGAATGAAAGATAAGGAAAGAAGGAAAGGGGGAAAGTAAGAGAAAGAAGGAAAGAAGGAAAGAGAAGAAGGAGGGAAAGGGGACGAAAGAGAAGGAAAGAAAGAGAAACAAGGAAAGAAGGGGGAAAGAAAAGGAAGGAAGGAAAGAGAGAGAGAAGGAAAGAAGGCGAGACAGAGTGAAAGAGAAGGAAGGAAAGAGAAGGAAAGAAGTAGGGACACAGGCAAAGGAGAAGGAAGGAAA